CGGTAGGTCCCGCCCGCCCCCCCGCCCGACGGCAGCGATTCGATCGTCTGCGCCCGCTGCCCCCGTGGCGACCCCCGCCGCCGCGGCGGTTCGTCCGGATCCTCGCCGAACGTCGGCGTCTCCGCGTCGGCCCCGCTGCGGACGGATTCCGCCGGGGTCTGCGCGAGCTCCGCCCCGCGGACGACGATGGCCTCGTCGTGCGCGTCGTTGGTGAGCGGGATGCCGAGGGGCTCGGAGCGGGCCGAGCCGGAGGGCGGCGTCGAGATCACCTCCGTGTTCAGCAAGTTGATGTGCTCGTCGTGGACGTCGTTGTAGATGAGGCTGTTGGTGAGGTCCCCGCGGAGGTGCTCGGTGGAGCGGGGGAGGGCGGTGGGGGGGGGAGCGCCCGCCGCCTCACGCGGCGCCGCCGCTTCGGCGCTGCCGAAGCGCTGGGGGATCGGGACGTCCAGGCTTTCTGGGAGCTCCGCGTGCTCGCCGTCGGAGATGCCTTCGGTGCTATTCTCACCCGTGGAATCCCCGTCGTTGTAGTTCATCGGACCTCGCATGATTAGGTGGGGTGGGGTGGGGTGGGGTCAAGAATGGAAATGACAAGATATCACGAAAAGGTAAAAGTAATCTACAAGACGAATACAAAGATGAATTCGGCGATGCTGGTTTCTTAAATCCTAAGCGAGTATGGAGGGTGGTCGTTTTTTTTTTTGTGTGTGGGGGGGGGGAGGGGGGGGGAGGGGGTAGTAAGAGCAAAGAAAAAGGTAAATTATTATAATCATGATTTGAAGCATCAGAAAGTGGGTGTCCTTGCGTTCAGCTCTCATCAGAGAAGCAACCCAACGATAGACGTGTACAGTTCTTGATATCTTCGATTTAGGTGCGCAATATAATTAATAAACAGCATACTCGAAGGAGTAACGGCTTCATGTAAAATAAAACGTTTTCATTAAAAGGAGAAACTCATGTATCCCTTGTTCTAAGTGCCGAATGACAGAATGACCATCCACTAAATAAAAGACTCCATTATCATCGTTGCATGATGAGAGTGAGGGAGGGAAACATAAACGCCGTACGTTATTCCATCACGTTCATTCAATGCCCCCCTCTTTATCACTTTGAATCACTGCGTCTTATCGTTCCCTGTCACTGGGTTTATCCTTGAGAGTAATTTAATAACATAAAGGGATTTCTCGTCGTAACACAGGAAAACGGATCATAGGAAAGACGGCTACTTTGCACGATAAACCATATTTTATAGTGATCCCAGCTCCTAAGGACAACTGGCATTTCTTTGAGATCACTCAATTATTTATTTACCCATATTTCTAACTAGTAAGAATTCAAATAAGGAAATCAAGAGGAACGTAAGAAAAGAGAAGCGATTGAATCCTGGAAAACATGTACTCGGAATAGAGGTAAAAATTTCATTGCCGAGTAAAAAAAAGGATGTTGTGTTTATTGTTATGATTGAATCCTTTTATGTTCCGATTCCTGAAAACCGATACGGGTTGTAACTTCGCTTGCAGTCTCTTTACTCAAATATGTAGCTAAAAAGGATATAAGCAAACCTATTCTTTCGCTCTTCGTGCAAACACTATTCACTTCTTTACTTAAAATAGAATAATAATAATAATAATAATAATAATAATCGTGAATTAGTCGACAACAGGCTTATAATATACACCTAAAATTCTAAACTATCCTCTTCCCATGCTAAGAACAAGTGGGCCATTGGAAAGAGAAAATTTTACAACGAAACAAATATACATGCCTGCATTGTATTGTATATCACCATTATGTATGCCACACACTGGGCCTTGTGATACGATCGAAACAGAAACATCATCAGGCAGCGTCGAATAACAACATCAAAGGAAGATCGTATTCCGTGTGGTTATATTCCACGAAGAGAAAACAACGCCGTCAACTATGATCATGAACAAACCAACAACCAAAACAATAATGTTCCCCATGCTAAGACACGGATTTAGAATTGCACTCAAATGGAGGAGCAAGCATGTTTGCATCTTGCCTTCCCTTAGCGTGAAAGGTGCTCAAACATGATGTAAACGAAACCATGCAGGGAAACAGGGAACGCATGATTAGAACGCATAAAAAGCGAAAAAATTCAGTGCAACTGGAAGCAATACTTTCTTTCTCTATAGTAGCTTCAGAAGACTAAGCGTTAAATGAATAAAGTTGCCCCTCAATCACGCGGGGGGAACAAAACAACCCAGCAAGCAATGAGTACCAAACAATCGCCTAGAGACTGTTTGGAAGGGGAAAAACAAACAAACAATGAAAAAGAAAACCACAACAGCACGCTATAAGGATCGTAGGGCGTTTGGAAGCTGAAACAAAGAGGATTTATCCGAATCCTCCCCTTGTTTGCGCTCCAGTTTTCTCTTAATGTACTGCCTAAACGCCTCCGAGCAGCGCATCAACTGGTGGTTGAACTCCTCCTCGTAGTCGGCGTTGGGGTGAGCCTGACGAAGGAAGAGATAGAGCTCGTCGATGCCCTGCGAGGTCGTGACGTGGTTACGAATCCGCGCGAAAACGTTTGCCATGAAACCCGTGGAGGGGCTGCTCTTTTCCACTCGAGAGCTTTTCAGAGACGTGACCGGCGGGTTCTCCTCTTCCACCGCGGGTTTGGGCGGGATCGCGGCGGGGGTCGTCGGCTTCACGACCGCGCGAACCGTCGTCGGCGTCTCGGTGAGGGTGGTGGGGTTGACGTGGGTGGGTTTTCCCGCCCGTTGGGGGGTTTGCCGCGTCGTAGTCGGCGACATCGTCGGGGTGGGGGTTACCGGGGTCGGAGGGGAGGCCGTGGAGGAGGGAGGGATCGTCTTCGCGGCCGTAAGAGGGGGGTTTTCAGGATACAACACCGGCGGCGATGTGGCGTGCTGTTGCTTTCGATTCTCCTCCGCGGCCTGATGCTCGTTTTGGTCTTTGCTGCGTTTCGTCCGCTCCTGATCGTCGAGGCAGGCGCGAATGAAGTGCGTTACGAGGTTCTGCGAGCCCACCAGCTGATCGGCCACATCCAGCAGCTCCGACCCCCAGCGTCGGGTGGCGGACTGCAAGAGGGTTTTGACGGTTCGAATAGGCAGATCGTCCAGCTCGCGGAAGGCGCTCGGCGGATGCTGAAGGAGATACTCATGACAGCAGAGGATGACATTACCCGGCTGAACCTGCTCGATATCCACGCGCATGATGCACTTCACAGTGACCTGGATGTACTTGAGATCACTTTTCTGGCCGGTGTGCAGGTAGGTCGCGGAGTAGCTCGTCATCCGCGAGAGAAGGGCACTGAAAACCTCGTTTTGGGAGCACCCTTCAATAAGCCGAAGGGTCATGCTGTTGAGCGATTTTAAGCTCGTCTCCTCGGCCGAAAAGCTCTCCGAAAGGAGACAATCAAAGATGATACCCAGAAGGCGAAAGAGAAGACCACTATGGCAGCGCTGCGCCGTGCGCGGCAAGATGAACATCGCCCCGAGCGAGCCAATTAAGCCGAGCGCGAGATCCAACGAGAAGCTCCGCATATTCTCCTGAAGACGCTCCGCCATCACGATCATCATCTCGGGTGTGGCGCAGTCCTCCCCATCCCGTAGATGCCGCATGAAGTCGGTGCACATCGCGTACGCCACGCTCGGGGTGGCGGAGCGAAGCCCCGCGAGGATCTCCGGCAGGGAGTACGTCCACCGGTTGGACGGGATCTCGTGCGGCGAGGATCGGCTCCCATTCCGGCTGCTCACGTTACTCACGCCATTATTACTGGTAGAGGTGGTGGTGGTGGTAGTGGGGATGTAGTTGGGAGGGGGGTCCGATTTAATCGCCAACGCGATATCGCCCCCACCTTTGGGGTTGTGAATCCGAGAAGTCCTCTTCTCACCAGAACAAGGCCCCGACAACTCGGCGGAGGTCTTGGAGACGAATACATCGCCGGAAAACGAGCCCGCGGTGGTGGCGGTGGACGTGAGAGGGGGCTCCGTTTTGATGAAATTCACGACGTTCGAGACGATCGTGGGGGGGTGGACCTGTCGAAGGGAGGTGGAGCTGGTGGCGCTGTGCGGCGTCCGCGCGCCACAGCTGTGGGAGGCGGTCGTGCCCATCGGCAGCAACGACGCGACCTCCTCGGAGAGGACCGAGTTGCTGTTAAAAAACCGCGGCGTGGTATCGTTGTAGAGTTGGATTTGACGCTCAATTGCGGGCAGCACGATCTGCCGCTCCGCCGGTTTCAGCTTCTTAATGTGGCGCATAAACCCCTCATCGCCGACGATGGGAATGACATAGCCGACGACCTGCTCCGCTGCGATCCGGACCTCGGAAATACGATCCATCAGCGCGTTCACGATCGAGGGCACCAGCGTCTGGAGAACGGCCCTCGAAACGGTATGATCGGCTGGCAGGTTCGCGAAGCCGTACTGCATCGCCTCGAGTGTGTTTTGCCGGGTGATGTTCGAATCCGAGGCGAGGGGCTTCTGCAGGAGGGGCAACATCCCATCCAGCCCGAGGACCTCGACGCCTAAAAACACGACATTCCGCGCGCCTTCACGGAGGGCGACCTTTTGATCCCCGAGCATGGCCATCGCGGCGGGGAGCAGGCGGCGGAGCCCGGCCTTGCACTCCGCGCGATCCCCCACCCCCACCACCACCGCGATCGTCCGGAGCACATCCACGACGAAGTTCTTATTCGCCTCCTCGA